GAATCTTTTTGTTGTATACCTGAAAGTAACACAACACTGTTAATCAACTATACTCCAGTATAATTTTTTTTTTAAAAATGCAAATTCATGTGCTTCACCCTGGACCAAGCAAACAGGAATACATACATAGAGTCCAGCAACCTGCTTATGAAATAAACACCTCATGTAAATTTTAGCCACACTGTTTTGCGAACTAGTGCCTTATATAAAGTTTACCTAGTTCTGTAGACTCTTATCTTTTCAACATTTCTCATCTATTTCTCTCCTTTCCTATGGCCTCTACTCTAGTTTAAGGCTGCTTCACTTCTTAGCTGGACTTGTGTAATAGGATTTCCTTGCCTCTAGGATATTTTCCACTCTAATTCATCCTACACACAGGGGCCTTATTCATCTTACTAAATCACAACTCCACTCATTTAATGTGACAAGAACTTATTGAGAGCATACTATATACCAGGTGCTTCAAGGCAGAAGGTTCTAAGTGGGGCTGATAATCTGAATCATTAAGTGGGAGAAACGTTTTAAAAATAGAGATTCTCTACCATTTCTCTAGGCCTACTAAATTAGAATCTACAGAGCCAGAGTTGAAAAAAGTTTACTGTTAAAAAGTTCCAACCTAATACAGGGTGCTCAGTTTGGTTCTCTCTGATGACACAGAGAGGTGGGATGAGGCAGGGGAGAGAGGTTCACAAGGGAGGGAATGTATGTACTCCAGTGTTCTTGCCTGGAGAATCCCAGGGAGGGCAGAGCCTGGTGGGCTGCCGTCTATGGGGTCACACAGAGTCAGACACGACTGAAGCAACTCTGCATACCTGATTCACAATGTATAGCAGAAACTAACAGAACACTGTAAAGCAATTATCTTCTAATTTAAAAAAAAGTTACCCAGGTGACCCTGATACTTTTAAACAACACTGCTGCTGCTAAGTCGCTTCAGTCGTGTCTGACTCTGTGAGACCCCATAGAAGGCAGCCCACCAGGCTCCCCCATCCCTGGGATTCTCCAGGCAAGAACACTGGAGTGGGTTGCCATTTCCTTCTCCAATGCATGAAAGTGGAAAGTAAAAAGTGAAAGTGAAGACGTTCAGTTGAGTCTGAACTCTTAGCAACCCCATGGACTGCAGCCTACCAGGTTCCTCCGTCCATGGGATTTTCCAGGCAAGAGTACTGGAGTGAGTTGCTATTATCTTCTCCCTAAACATAAGACTGGAGCATATAAAGATTAAAATATTCTTGAGTATTTCAGATTATACTGGGGAAACGTGAACATATGCAAATAATATATAAGACATTTGTTGTTGCTTAGCCACTAAGTCATGTTCAACTGTTTTGTAAACCCATGGCAATGTAGCCTGCCAGGCTCCTCTGCCCATGGGATTTCCCAGGCAAGAATACTGGAGTCTTGTTTCTCCAGATACAACACATTGATTAATGCTATATTAGAAGTACCAAGTGCTATAAAAAAGAATAATTCTAACTGCATTAAGTAACTTTAGTAATACACCAACCTTGAAGAAATCTTTTCCTCTTTTAATTTCCCACAGTACTTTATAACTCTCCTATGGTCTCATTTTTATCTTGCACTATAATTACTTTCATATATGTGTCCTGTCCTCTCCACTTGTACTTAAGATCAGAGCCTTGACCTTCTCAGAGCACATAATCTCAAAGATTTTTTTTCACAGTTCTAATTCACTTATAGGATAAACCTGTACCACTCAAAATACTAAATTATGCATGGTTGTGCATTTTATGGTGGTGGTGGTGTCTAGTCGCTAAGTCGTGTCCGATTCTTTGCAACCCCATGGACTGTAGCCCAGCAGGCTTCTCTGTCCATGGGATTTCCCAGGCAAGAATACTGGAGTGGATGTCGTTTCCTTCTCCAAGGGATCTTCCCAACCCAAGGATCGAACATGCATTCGCAGACAGATTCTTTACCTCTGTGCCACCTGGGAAGCCCACGCATTTTGTAAACCTAATCAAAAACTGGATGTCCTTGTAACAATCATATATATGTGGACAAATTTATGGATTTAACCTCAGTGAGGCACTTAGTACAATTCCTTCAACAAAGCAGGTACTTAAAGTTATGTGTGAACAAATGGGGTCTGGAGAAAATGTCTTTTGGATATGGAAAAATATACTTAATATGTCCAGTATCCACTTAAGAGGTTATAGATTCCAAATGAAATATGCTGGTGGTTTTTGTAAACCAGCCCCCTATGGGCCAAAACCAATCAGCCTGCTTGTTTTGTTGTTGCTGTTTGTTTGTTTGGATGACCCAGGATTGTGTGGCATGCCGGTGTATGTGTGTGGGTTGTGTTTTCTGTTTTTTGACAAATTTTAATTTGAAAGTCTTTGGCAAATATTCTCTAATTTACCACAGGCTCTTCAATTCCCCGGGCTTCCCTTGTGGCTCAGCTGGGAAACAACCCACCTGCAATGTGGGAGACGTGGGTTCAATCCCTGAGTTGGGAAGATCTCCTGGGGAAGGGACAGGCTACCCATTCCAGTATTCTGGCCTGGAGAATTCGCAGAGAGTCGGATACAACTGAGCAACCTCACTTCCATTCCCTATTATCCTACACAAACTTAAGGTACAAAATTATGTTATCTACAGGTCTAAAGATGAGAGTGCTAATGGACAACTACTGCCAATCATTTCTGCTTTTTGAATGCTGATTATTGTATGGACTGAACTGTGTACCCCCAAATTCATATTCTGAAGTCCTAATCCCCAGTACCTCAGAATGCAACCAACTTGGAGATAAGAATTTTAAAGAGGTAATTAAATTAAAATGAGGTCTTTTGGATGGGCCCTCATCTAGTTATGACTGATGTCCTTATAAGAAGAAATCTGGACACAGGTGGGCATGAATTAAAGACCATGTGAAGACAAAGGCAAAACTACATGCCAAGGAGAGAAGCCTCAGAATGAAGTTATCCCTGCTGATACCTTAGTATTGAACTTTCCAGCCTCCAGAATAGTAAGAAAATAAATTTCTGTTGTTTACACTCTCAGTCTGTGGTATTCTGTTATAGCAAACCTAGCAAACTAATGCAGCTGCCACTATATATAATATTAACAGTGGCATTTTTACATCAGAATTATGTTTACTGGGACTTCCCTGGTGGTCCAGTGATTAAGTCTCTGTGCCCCCAATGCAGGGGGCCCAAGTTTAATCCCTGGTCAGTGAACTATATCCTACAGGCTGCAATGAAGAGCCCGCACCTGGCAATAACGATCCAACACTCAGCAATGAAGATCCCCCAAGGTGCAATTAAGACCCGGCACAGACAAAAAAAAGAAAAAAAGATTAAAAAGAATGTTTACCATGTTCAAGTCATTCTGCCATGTACAGTGGTGAACAAAACCCTAAGTAGCTTAGAATCCAACAGATAAGGCAAGTTATATGTAAGATACATTCATCAACATAAATGAGAAAAACATTACCAGGCCTAAAGGGAAAGAAAAAAAGCCAAATAAACAGTGTATTTTTAATTCTATAGATGTTCTGAAGGAGACAGTTAACTATTAGTTACAGCTCAGGAAAACTCAGAATTTGACCTGGGTATTGAGAGATAAGATTCAAAAAAGCAGGAGTAAGAGGACGTTTAGGTAAGAGGAATGGAGAGTACAAAGTCAAATGCTACTATAGACAACACCGTCTTCCCAGGTTCATCTAACTTAGATTCAAGTCTCCTTTCTAAACTCTATAGTCACTATACACTTTTAAAGTTCTAAATCCTTATAAAATTTAGGCATTTCCCCCTGAAGATAAATAACAGTGTAACTGACTTTTTCAGTACAATACTGACATCCAAAGGATAGTCTAGTTCATCTCTAATGCCTCTTGGGCTTCTGCTGAGAGTTGGTTTTATTTTCAAATGGTCTATGAGTGCAATAAGCAGCTCACAGAACATTCTCTTTTGAAATCTGGCCATTTTTTGATCTCTCACCTATCTATCAAATCTCATCATTTTAGATGACTCCACAACGCAGGTGGCCTATGTTTTCTTAAGTGCTTCTTCTTCTGAAGAATGTTACTCAGTTCGTTAATGTTTCATACCTAAGTATTCTAATATATTTAATTTTTTATTTAATGAAATTTCTAACCTCCAGGCTGAGGAAGTTATTTAGAATGTTTCATCCAAGCTGCTGGAAAAGTGCTCATTAGCAGGGAGTTTTGAAGTTGGAATTTTAAGAAAAGCGTTGGCAGGAACCTAAACACATAGATCTAAGCTTTCATAAATGTTTCCCTGTCTTAAGTGTAAAGGAAGAAATTCTTCTTGATAAGCAGATAAGTTATGAACTTTTCCTTTTAGATTCTGGCGACAAGAATTTAACAACGAATTTTGTTAAAACATGTGTTTCAAAGCTCCTAAATTTTTTTAGTTTTTTTAAAATAATTGTCTGTAAAAAGCCTTATTTTTCCTCCATCATTTCAACAGCGCTTACTTTCTTCCATAAAGGAGAGACTGAAGTGAGACTATTATCGCCAAGAGATACACATTGAACTAAAGGAGCCATGCTTAGCATCTGGTTTTAATTATTTTAGATGCAAGTGATTCTCTATGAAAGGAGGCACCTCAGCTGAATTAGTTTGATTCTTGCAATGGCTTGAACTCAAAGAACCTGCCCATCTTATACTATCTAACTTGAGATTTATGGGAGATTAAGAACTTGTTAGAGAAGCTTCTAGATGGTTACATAAAATTTTAAAATTAAAGGTCTTTAATATACCCGGTTCAGATGAAATTTGCAGGTCCTAAAGAACTAGAATTTTAATTGTAACTCAAATTGCACCCAATATTTCAAGACTACAAACTGCGTACCATACAGTAAAAATGCACACGGTAAAACTTTGCTAAATGTTTAGAAATCCAAATTTTCAGTTTTTTCTTTTTTTTTTTTTTAGTACCCGCTCCCTGGTGACAAAGTGGACTCAAGTTTCCGTTACCCTCAAAAAACAAGGGGTTGGTGTTATACTACACGCTTACCTTTGGGAAACAACTTGCACTTTATAACTGGACGGGAAAATCTTTTGGTGAGCGAGAAGGCTAAAGGAAACGAAGGACAGTGGCGTGACCGTGGCTCAGGCCCGCGGTTACTCCTGAGGAGACCGCCTGAGCCCCAAACCACAGTGATCACCTAACAAGACCGCTTTTCCCGCGGACTCTCGCCTTCCGGCGGTAAGTCACCGCCGCACCGGAAGCCGTCGTCAGGACAACGCTCTTCTGCCCACCCCGTCCCTTCGTCCCGCCCACCACCTTGTACGTCTGAGGCCAGCGGGGCTTCCATTGGTCCATCTGTCCTTCACTCTGGGAGAAGTTCGGAGCGCTAGGCTCAGGAACTCTGATTTGAATTTGTGGCGCGGACAGTTCACGAGGTGACAATGGTTCTGGGCGTCTTGCGGGAGCCAACAAACTCGGTGGTGAGAGACCCTGAGGGGAGAATGACTGAAAGGGCGGCCGAGGAGCAGGGGCGCTGCGTTAAACAGGTCGCCTCGAGATGGGGGACTTCAGTCGGGCTGGAACTTCCCTTCCTGAGGCAGGCTCACCGTTCTCCTCCTCACGGCCTCTGGATTCTTCCCTCACGACGTTTTCCTCGCGTCTCAAAGACGACGCTCCCGCCCCGCTTCTGTCGCTCCTGAAGGGAGTCTCCCCTCCCTTTTCTTTCACGAACTGTTGTCTCTCACCTTCCAACCCTCCAACTCTGACGTGCTTACTACACCTCCCCCAAGCGTACTTGACTCCCGCCTCATTCCTACCCTCCTACCTCTTTCCTAGTTATATTCTGCTCTTCATCACCCACACTGTCAGGAACTTTCTACCTGCCCGTAATAGGGTGGGAAACTCCCGAGCGACCTGGGAAGCTCCCCACATCTCACAAACTGAGTCCAGAACTTTCCTTATCAAGGAATAGGTTGCTGCTGTCCACTTGTTCCCAACTGAGACGCAATGAAGTTCCCGTGGAAAGCGGCAAGTGCAAGCTCTGTATAAAATGCTACAGAAATGTAAGATCTTGACCCTAAGTAACTTACTGACTCTGAATGAGCGAATTCCCGTCGAAAACATGATTATTTTGTTCTTGCTCGGACCCTGTTGACACATACATTTCATATTGGCATTGCGAGTACTGTCTGGATCTTAGAACAAACGCAATAGATCTTTTGGAGAAAAATGAAACTCTGAGGCTTGATCATTAAAAACATTAAAAAGCAAAACAAGCTCCCATTGAAAAGTCTTCTCTTCATTAACCTTATGTGTCTATTATGATCTGACTCCCGTCACTACGACTCCATCTATTGAATTTCAAGTTAAGATTCAGAACCACTTTAAGGAGTTCTATAGTATGAATGAACATTTTGTCTGATATCCCCTGCCTATAACTATGAATATCCTCTATTTTCTTTCTAATTTGATAGTTCAACTTGATTTTCTGTATGTCCAGTCTCTGGAACCAAGGTTTAACAGAGTTTAACTTTCTTGGGGTTGGGGGAGATGGGGGAGCATAATCTCCTTTAAGAAGCAAGAAAAACCTTGAAGCTTTTGTGTACAATATGATACATATAGGCAAATTTTTTGTATCAATTTCAGGGAGTTTTAAATCTATACAGAAGAACTCCAGTCAAGTATTCTAGAAGTGTATTTCTATTTCTTAAAAGTAGAAACAAACAGCCAAAGCAGCTAAATGTTCTACTTCTTTAAAATGGCCATCATTTAATTTCTGAATTGAGACTTGTTCTAAAGAAAGTGGGAAAGTGAGAAACCTTGAAGCAGTTGTATTAGCACTTTCAAATGAGCACTGGGTTGAGAGTTTTAGAGAAGTCACTGAAGTGCTTTCTAGAATTGTAGGAAGGTCATTGACAGTTGAGATTTTGTATCTTTTTACATTAATTAGGAAAATACTTGATCAACCTAAAGACTTAAAGTAATTTTTGTGCCTTAATGTTTTGGATGCCTTATATTAAAATGATTTTTATTGTGGAATTCCAGTAGCTTGTCCTGAATATAATTTACATCATCAAGTTTTTTTTTTATTTTTTTTTTCTGCACTAAAACTTTACTTCACCTGCAACTCAGTTTTGTATATTATGTGTGAAAAATGATTTTAACTAAAAATTTTTTGTTGCTATTTGTAAAACATGCTAATGGGCCAAATCTGGTCCACTGTCTGTTTATGTAAATGAAATTCTATCAGAACACAGGTACATCCACTTGTTTACATGTTGTCTGGCTGATTCTGTGCTACAACGTCAGAACTGAGTAGTTGTGAGAGAGACTATATGAGCTTCAAAGCCTAGTGTATTAACCATGTGGCCCTTAATAGAAAAAATTTACAAGCCCTGGAATAAGATATCCTTTCTTCACTGAATGGGTAATGTCATGTTCCCATACAGTTTTTATAAATATATGTTTGCCTTTGTTTTTGAGCTTGTTTAGTCTATTTCATTTGCCTCACCCTGCACATATAACATGGTGTTTTAATTACCTTATCTCTGAAAGAAGACAGTATATTCTGTAGGTTAAACTGCTCCCCTTACTCCCATACCAAGCCGTTCTCTTATTTATTCTTGGCTCTTTGATTTTCTATATTAATTTTAGTGAGAAATCTTCTTATGTTTTGACAGGAATTGCTTTGATAGGAATTAATATGTATATTCTACATTAATTTGGGAAGAACTGTCATCTTTACCGTATTCATTCTTTCCATCCATGAACATAGTATATCCTGATTGTTTTTATCTTTTAATGTGATCTTAAAGTTTTTTTTTTCTTTAGAGTGTTCATAAGGATGATTGGTCTTTGTTTTGCTTTATTTTAATTTTTTGATTTTAACATTAGGGCAGTGCTGTCTGACTACTTTAAATGATCTGAGATGTGTTATATTCTTTTCTGTTTCTTAAAAGATTTTGTATAGGATTAGCAATATTTTTTGTTAAAGATTTGATAGAAAACAGCATGCATCCATCCAAGTCTGGCAGTTTCTTTGTGAGGAGGTTTTAATGGAATTAACAAAATGAGAGTAAATTTTATTAATATTTGCCTACATCTTATCATTTCTGGCACTCTGTTTCTTCTTGTGAAGTGTTAGTGTCTCAGTTGTTGTCCAACTCTTTGCGACCTCCCCGGGCTCCTCTGTCCATGAAATTCTCCAGGCAAGAATACTGGAGTGGGTAACCATTCCCTTCTTCAAGGGATCTTCCCCACCCAGAGATTGAACCCGAGTCTCCTGCATTGTGGGCAGATTCTTTACCATCTGAGGCACCGGAGAAGCCCATTTCTTCTTGTAGATCCAAATTTTCATTTGTTTTCTTCAATCTGAAGAAATTCCTTTAACATTGCTTATGGTATGGCTGGTTGGTAATGGATTCTGTTTTTGTTTTGTTTTTACTTGAAAATGTTTTTGGTTAACTTTCATTTTTGAAAGATTTATTTATTTTTGGCTGCACTGGGTCTTCATTGCTGTATGTAGGCTTTCTCTAGTTAAGGTGAGCAGAGGCTGCTTTTCATTGAGATGTACTGGCTTCTCGTTTCAGTAGCTTGTCTTGGTGCAGAGCATGGACTCTAAGACTTGCGGGCTCAGTAGCTACAGCTGCAGCCCACGGGCTCTAGAACACTGGCTTCGTAGTTGTGGCATATAGGTTTAGTTTCTCCCCAGCATGTGGAATCCTCCCAGATCAGGGATCAAACCCATGTCCCCTGCACTGGCAGGCAGATTCTTAACCACTAGACAACCAGGCAAGCCCAAAAGATTTATTTTTAATGTGGATATATAATGTTTTTAGTACTTTAATATTCTATTGCCCTCTGCCTTGTGTTGTAAGATTATTTGGAGTCATTCTGATCTTTGTTCTCCTGTATGTAATTTTTTTTCCCCAGTCCCTGATTGCTTCTTTTTTAGAAGTCAGTTTTACTGAGGCTTAATTTACATATGGTAAAATTCACTTTTTAGGAATATAGTTCTATGAGTTTTGACAAATATAAACAGTTGTAAACTACTGCCATAATCAAGATATGGAATATTTCTGTAAGTCTGTAAAGTTACTTTATGATCCTTTATCATCATTTCTCAGGTCCCATACCTATTCCCTAGCAACTGCTGATCTGCTATCTGCCACTGTAGGTTTGTACTTTGAGAATATCATGTTAATAGAATTCTGTAGTATGCAGCCTATATCTGACTCCCTTCAGTTGGCAAATGAATTTAAGATTTATTCATGTTGTTGCATGTATCAGTTTATTATGTTTTGTGTGTGAGTAGTACTCCATTATACATATGTACCATAATCTGTTTATCTATTAGCCAGTTAATGGACATTTGGATTTTTCCAGTTTTGGCTGTTAGTGATAAAGCTGCCATAAACATTTTCCTACAGGTTTTTTGTGGTCATAGATTTTTACTTTTGCTGGATGACCACCTATGAATTATATGATAAATGTTTAACATCTTAAACTACTACCAAACTTTTGCCCAAAGTTTTCATTTGTTTTCCAATAAACAGCATATGACTGTTCTAGTTATTCTACATTCACATCAGCTCTTGATCTTGTTAGTTGTTTAAAATCTAACTATACCATTTAGTATGTCAGTTTATATTTCCCCTTTCACCAAAGACATTGCTATAAAATTTTATTACTATCTGGTGAAATAATCTTTTGTTTTTAATTTCTACTTCTATTGTATGATCAAAATATTTTTATATTGATTATACTTTATGGAACACATTGAAGCTTTCTTTGAGACACATGCACTTGGTCAATTTTTATGAAAGTTTCATATGTACTTAAAAAGGAAATTACTTGTTACAGGAGTTTAAAGATATTCACATAGCTTGTTTAGTTTATATATTCCTCATCCTTTTATATTTTTTGAATACTTATATTGAGTTTGGTATGCTTATGTCTTCTTTTTGTTTTCTTTATTTTTTGCATCTTCTTGATTCTATTTTATCATGGTACTCACTGTGTTATTTGGCACATAGATATTCCTATTATATATTTATTTTGAATTGGCTTTTAGATCATAAAATGTTCTTTTTAGTATGCAGTGCTTTTGGTGTTAGTTCTACTGTGTCTGATATCAGAATTGCAATACCTACTTTCTTATTGCTCTATTTGTATAGAATACATTGTCTAGCCCTTGTATTTTTAATAATTGAATTACTTTCTTTTAGATGAGCTTCTCTAATAC